GGGGGGTGGGGGGGGGGGGGCGAAGGGGTTCGGTGGTGGGGTTAGAATATCACAAATATTTTATGAGTACTTTCTGAAGATGTCTGACAATCTTTGTGAAAAAGAATATTAAGATATTTTTCTGATGAATTGAGTGATATAGATGTTAGATTATATCATTGAGTGGCATAAATATAAAGATGACATTTTTAAGTGATATTTTTGTATTTCTCCCAAAGTGAAACTCATAGGATAGGATAAATAGAACAAGTGGGAAGCAAAATAAATAAATAATTATTGAAATGAGGAAACGACATATTGCGCGTCTTTCATGTACTTTAACCACAAAAACGACGTGTTGAGACTCTCCACTTGCTCTTCAGCCAAAAGGAAGAAATACCAACCAAAATACCAAATCCTAAAAGCCGTTACGTTCCTCCACTGCTTCATCTTTTATTATCTCTTCTATACTCTTTCTCTGGTGAGTTTTTCATTTTCACTTACTAATATTTCTTGCGAATCAAAGCAAATTATGGGCTCCCTTAAATTTTCCATCTCTTTGGACCCATTTGATTCAAAGAAGCTGAATTCTTCTCCAATATCTAGCTATTTTCATCTGGGTTGTAGAGCTTGTATAGTCAATTCTCTGAATAGGGTCAGTAACATTAAGGCCAATCCCATCAATGATGAAATCACTTTGTCTTTAAACAGTGACTTAGTTAGTGAGACTATTATTCAGCAGAAACCGAATAAGTTTCGTGGTTCTAAGAAAGAGGCTAAAAGATTTCTGGGTTCTAAAGTTGGTATGAAAAAGAATAGATGGGAAAGGGAATTGGAGAATTTGTTTGTGAATGATGGAGAAATAGACGTTAACTACTCTGTTATTAGGTCTGACTTGAGCTTAGAGCAGTGTAATTCTGTTTTGAAGCGGCTAGAGAGTTGCAGTGATAGCAAAACTTTGAGATTCTTTGAGTGGATGAGAAGCCATGGGAAATTAGAGGGCAATATAAGTGCTTATAATTTGGTTTTTCGGGTTTTGAGTAGAAAAGAGGATTGGGGTACAGCTGAGAAGATGATTTGGGAGCTGAAAAATGAGTTGGGTTGCGAAATGGGTTACCAGGTTTTCAACACTCTTATTTACGCGTGTTCTAAACTCGGGCGTGTTGAGTTAGGAGCTAAGTGGTTTAGAATGATGCTAGAGCATGGTGTTAGGCCAAACGTTGCGACGTTCGGTATGCTCATGGGGCTTTACCAGAAGAGCTGGAATGTCGAGGAGGCCGAGTTTACCTTTACTCGAATGAGGGATTTGGGGACCGTGTGTCAATCTGCCTACTCGGCATTGATCACTATTTATACTCGTTTGAACTTGTATGAAAAGGCTGAAGAGGTTATTGGCTTCATGAGAGAAGATGAGGTGATACCCAACTTGGATAATTGCTTGGTAATGCTTAATGCTTATAGTCAACAGGGGAAACTAGAGGATGCTGAAATGGTTTTGGCCTCAATGCAAAAGTCCGGGTTTCCACCCAACATTGTTGCATACAACACGTTGATAACTGGGTATGGAAAAGCGTCGAAAATGGATGCTGCTCAAAGGTTATTTACGTGTATCAGGAATGTTGGATTAGAGCCCAATGAGACAACTTACCGTTCGATGATTGAAGGTTGGGGTCGAGCTGACAACTACAAGGAGACAATATGGTACTATCAAAAGCTCAAAAAGTTAGGTTACAAGCCTAACTCGTCTAATCTCTACACACTGATAAACTTGCAAGCCAAATATGGGGATGAGGACGGCGCTGTAAGAACTCTTGAAGATATGCTGAATATTGGATGCCAATATCCCTCCATCATTGGCATTCTTCTGCAGGCATATGAGAGGGCTGGAAGGATTGAAAAAGTACCTTTACTTTTGAAAGGTTCTCTCTATCAACACGTTCTTCTTAATCAAACTTCATGTTCCATTGTTGTTATGGCCTATGTGAAGCAAAGGCTAGTGGAGGAAGCTATCAAAGTGTTGAGGGACAAAGTATGGAAGGACCTAGGCTTTGAGGATAACTTGTATCATTTGTTAATCTGCTCATGTAAAGAGTTGGGTCATCTTGAAAGTGCTGTTAAATTATACACTCATATGCCTAAGCATTTTGACAAGCCAAATATGCACATCATGTGCACGATGATTGACATTTACTGTGTTATGGGTCAGTTTGAAGAAGCAGAAAAACTTTATTTGGAGTTGAAATCTTCTGGAATTGTGTTGGACATGATTGGCTACAGCATTGTTCTAAGGATGTATGTAAAATCTGGATCTTTGACTAATGCTTGCGATGTTCTAGATGCAATGGACAAACAGAAAGGCATTACTCCGGACATCCATCTGTTTCGTGATATGCTCCGTGTTTATCAGCGGTGTGACAAGCAAGACAAGTTAACAGATTTGTACTACAAAATTTTGAAGAGTGGAGTGCCTTGGGATCAGGAAATGTATAACTGCGTAATAAACTGTTGTTCTCGAGCCTTGCCAGTTGATGAGATTTCGAGGATTTTTGATGAGATGCTTCAACGTGGTTTTATTCCCAACACCATTACATTGAATGTTCTGCTTGATCTCTATGGGAAAGCCAAGCTTTTCAAGAAGGCCATGAAGTTGTTCTGGATGGCCGAAAAGTGGGGCTTAGTTGATGTGATTTCTTACAACACTCTGATAGCTGCTTATGGGAGGAATAAAGATTTGACAAAAATGTCATCGGCGTTTAAATTGATGCAATTTAAAGGATTTTCAGTTTCCCTTGAGGCATATAACTCTATGTTGGATGCTTATGGGAAGGAAAGACAGATGGAGAGTTTTAGAAGTGTGTTGCACAAAATGAAAGAATCAAACTGTGCTTCTGACCATTACACATACAACATTATGATCAATATATATGGAGAACAAGGATGGATCGATGAAGTTGCTGAAGTTCTTAAAGATTTGAAAGAATGTGGATTCAGGCCTGATCTGTACAGCTATAACACGCTAATTAAGGCGTATGGAATTGCGGGGATGGTAGAAGATGCCGTAGGCTTAGTCAAGGAAATGAGGGAGAATGGCATAGAACCTGATAAAGTAACTTATGTCAATCTGATCACTGCTATGAAAAGAAATGATGAGTTTCTTGAGGCTGTTAAGTGGTCCTTATGGATGAAGCAAATGGGATTATAAAGCTTTCAAAACCGAGGTATATCATATTGTTTTTGCTTTTGCTTTATAGGTCTTACTACACATGAAAATAGCATTGCTTCTGATCCCCAAGTGCCTAGACAAGGCTAAAAATATTGATATTGGTCGAAATTTTGATGCCTAAATTTTAGGAAGATATAGATGGAAATATCGATATCAGTAGAAATAGGCATAAAATATGGAAATTATCATAACACATTAAACTCTTAAATGAAACTTTTAGGAGCTATAAGATTATTTATAGTACACAAGTTGGATAAAAGGTCAACTTTTCAAACCTTGTCCTAACTAAACACATTTTAAAACCATCTTTGGTAAGATGCTGCAATTATGAGTCCAATTCAAAGATAACAATTGATAATTTCTTCAGTATCATCTTTGACATTCATTCAATGGACGTTTTCTAATTTCCCATTTGCTTTTCGTCTCTACAGGCTGAATCGTTCTGCTAATTCCTTCAAGCAGACTTTGCTTCAAAGATCTGTAAAATGGGCACAGAACTACAGGTGTTCTGACTACTCAAGGACACACGCAATACTCGGAAAACAGTGTCGAGAAGGAAAGAGCATTATCAGAAGTCATCTGGTGAAAGTCTGAGAGAAGAGGTCTTGTTTGTTGAAAGGGATACAGATTGCAAGCCATTTAGAAGCATAGATATTTCCATTCAAGAACTCAAAGACTTCACCTTCTAAGTTTACAAATCACCAGTAAGTGAAATGAGGAAAAAAAAAATGCATTCCCACTAAAATGTGGTTGTGTAGGACCAAGTCCTATCATGAAGGGTTGCGCTAGAAATCTCCACTTTTATTAGGGTATGTTCTATTGATTACTCTTGTAAAGCAAATGATTGTAGAACCACATCTAATGTTACTCATAATTGAATAGTTCAAATCTTTTCATCATATGATGTAAATTTTTTTGTTTGCTTTTTTTTTTTTTTTTTTTTTTTTTTTTTTTTTATAAAAAATTTTTTTTTTTTTTTTTTTTTTTTTTTTTAAAAAAATTTTTTTTTTTTTTTTTTTTTTTTTTTTTTTTTTTTTTTTGTTGTCTATAAAAAATCTTTATTCCTTTTTGTTGATATTACATACACCGTTAAAGGTCCCTTATGCACCTTCTCTCTTCTTCTTCTTCTTTTATTTATTTATTTTATTTTATTTTTTTTCTGAAGATAGCCTCCTAGTTCTTGGGCATATATAATGGTTTTTTTTTGGGAGCTATTTAACTTTTTCCTTTTTTAACCAAGGTTCAACCTGTTCGTAATCTTACTAGTGTCTTAAAGTCTACTATTTAAGGAAGTCAACCAGAGAGGAGAGAATCAACTATTTTCTTTGGATACTGAATGGAGATGTAACATTTAAGGAACTACCTCTGAATGAATGAAGAATAATACTTTTCATTCTACTGATTTATTGCTAAAAATGTGAAATAAATACTTACACATGTCAGTAATATTCCCTCTGTTTCGGTTGTAATGTACAAAAGATACATGTGATACATCAGAATACATGTATATTTACATCCTTCAAAAACACAAAACAAGTCCCCACAGCTCAAAAACGCTGAAAGAACTTTGCACCCACTTGTTTCTTGCCTTAGAAAAAAGCATTTAAGAAATGGAACAATTAGCTTCAGTGGAGAAGTTGTTTACTGTACTGTACATGGTAGAACAATTTGATTTTATCCCCTCTGGCCCCCAAATGTAGAGCAAGTGATGAGACACTGAACTCGATCACCGTTTGTCAGTTTTGAAGCCCCAGCGCGGCCGAATTGGCCAAAGAACCATATGAATTCAATTTTACAATCCATCTGGCTTCTTGGGAGCAACCCCAGTCTCTTGCTTTCCACTTTTCAGCCTTGGTCCATTTCTGAATGAACTTTTCTTCATTGACTCTTCAATTATACCGAGGATGAAGTTTCTTACTATTTTCGTTCGTTTGAAGGATTAGTTGAAAAAGTAAGGAGATTTAAGAACCTCTTCCAAGTCAAAGTCGCCTCTCTTTGGAAGGGCAGGAAATGCTAGTCCTGGATATGATGTTTGGAAGCTTTCCAGCAACTGTGATCAATCAGAGAAAACATAATCAAAAGTTAAAGGAAAAGAGAACGGGTGAAGAGAGTGGAGAAGAAATATCCAAAAAAGTGATAAAAAAATGAATGGTTAAACTTGAACACCCTGAATTTGAAGTTTGAACTAGAAAGTTGGAGCTCCAAAACAGTTTCAATTGAAGCCTCCAATTAAAATCCCAAGTTCATAATTCACTCACATTCTCAAGTACTGGCATGCTATACAGCTCCACAAATTTTTCCCGAAGTATCTGATTCATTTGGTCCACATCACACGCATGTGTCCAGAAGGAGTCGTGCACCCCTGCAACATTTTTCAAAGAAAGAATTCTCATTAAAAAATATTCCATTTCGAGGACGCTCGTATCAGCATTTATGGTGGTCATGTTTAATAAAATCTTTCTTTGTATCCAAAATAGCACTGCCAAATAACCAAATAAAAGAAGAATTGCATGTTTCTTTGAGCTAATGCATGAGCCCCCCAAAAAAGCAAATGAATCATAAATCTGGCCAGATAATAGGCCAACCAAAATTTGGATAAGGGTGAAATATGAGACTCTGAAGCATTTTGCATAGCAGTCTACAAGTAGAAGAAAGTGTGAAAATAATAGAGCTTATACTACCAAATAAGCAACATATGGCCATAGCCATAGAGAATCTGAGAACACGCGCACATGCAGACATATATATGTATATACATATATATTTGACTTACTACACACACATTTCTCCTACTTTGCTAACAAAATTACTAAAGAATGCTCAATTTAAACCAAGAACATAAGTTCTGTGTTGTAACATATTTTTCCACAAAAAATATTAATCAAAGTTGCACAGTATTTCTACAATCCAATCAAAGTTTTAATGAAATAGCTCGGTTTCCATCTCATAGAGACAAACCTGCAAAGCGTAAGCCAGCATCCCTGCAGGCAATAGCAGTCATCATCATATGTGAACCATCGAGTGAGTGAACAAAATTTGGAGGAAATGCAGACTTCTGCTTTCTAACATCTACCTGAGTCCAGTAAAAATGAATCTTGTTAGCAACTGCATAGATTACTTAAAAAGGAAAGAGATAATCACATGAACTTACAGAGGTACCCTCTCTCTGCAGGGCCAAAACCTGAAGAGATGTTCTCACCTGCAGCCCAAAGGTAAGACAAGTTACCTTCTTTGTTTATAATTATATATAGAGAAAACAGAATCATATAATACTGTGAAGTCAACTGATTTGAGAAAAATAAAAACAAGAGGGAATAAAAGTTTAAATAAAATTCAAGCAGGGGGCAGGGTAATCCTGACCCAGCAGACTGAAACACAAACTTTTAGGTGGTTTTTTTTTTTTTTTTTTCTTTTTTTTTTTTTCTGCTTCTTCTTCTTCTTGGGTCCAATACTCTATAATTGATTGCCTTTCAACTTTCTAGTTAAGCAATTGAACCTTAAACAAAAAGCTCTCAAGTCACTAGATATGTGAGAAAGGACTTTCTTTTTTCGGCCACCATAGCATCTGAATTGGAAATAATACTTTTCACAATCATATAGTTGTTTCTAATTGTATATTATAAATAAATATACCAACATTCACTCTATAGTTGAAGACAAAGATGTCTACTCCATTTCAAGCCACATTGTTACTGGAAAAATTTTAATGATGCATAAATCTAGGATGCCAGTAAATTTGACAGTCAATAATCCCTAAAAGACCAAATCGATAGAACTCGTATAAACAATTTTCCATTTTCTTAGGTACATAAAAATTTGATGGTGAAAAAACAAAGATTAGATTCCACCTATCTTGCCATTTGGCAGTAGACATGCTGTCGATTTTTCTAATAGAAATGTCAACCCAATTGTCTCACTTACAAGATGTCTTTCACTTCTGTAGTAGGGTTGCACAACAGGAAGACCTAAAGGAGTGGTCCACCGGACAGGCTCATTTTGTGAAGTGATTACCTGCAGGAGCAATTTAACAATAAAAGATCGGGGACAAAAATCTCTTGAATCTACTCGAGCCTTTGTAATTTAATGCTGAAACCATGCAACTTGGCATACCTTGGCACAATCACCAAGCCAGTTCATAACTGCACGTGCAGCTTGGAATATCTCTCCGAGGGAAGCCAATGTCACCTGTGCATCGTATAGGATGAATTTCAGAAGGAAATTATGAGATCTGAGAATGAAAGGATATGTTCCTATATGCAAGAAACGCACTCACACAAACATGATGCTTTGTACAACAACAACAACAACAACAACAAGCCGTAATCCCATCTTAATTGGGGCCGGCTATATGGATTTTCACTTTTCCATACAGCTCTGTTCAAAATTCTGAAGGCCTAGATCTAGAATGTCATTCCAAACTACTTCGGTCCACGTAATTCTTAGTCTAGCCCTCCCTCTCCTAGTATTAGGTATAAGAATCCTATATATACTGTGGAATCTTTTTCAGTAAAAGAAAATATATATGTGCGTGTGTGTAGTGTGTTTAAATATTTGGTAATTGAAAGAACTTTCGTGAATTTTTCTAATGATGAAATTCCAAGTAAATGCTGCATTGCACTTAATGTTAGTTAGAACCTATATTTAACAAAGTGAAGCTTTAGGCAGTTGATATGTTCTGTACCAACGAGGAGGGTTTTGGTGGTTGGTTACTTACTTTAGCAGCGTAACAAGATGCATTGAATATTTGCCTGTCATCAGGAATAAGACCCTTCTCATGTAATCTTCTCATTATCTGTTCACGTGCCCCCACATAAGTAACACCATATACAGAAGTCATCACTGTCTGTTTCACCAATTTCCTATCAACCTGAAAGCCTCAAACACATACTATATTAGCATCATACATGTTACAACTCTGAACTCCCAAAGGACTAAAAAAGACCAACCTGATCAATTAAAATCTTGGCTAGTAAAGCATTTGGATTGCTAGCTGGGTCTTTGTTGCTGTCCCTCAGCATCATATCATGAACCCTGCCAAAGTATGCATGTAAAATATAGGCATAAGCATAAGTAAATCATCCGTACTATATCAAAATAGACGATTAGCCAATGCACGCAAATAAAAGAATTATACCACGACAATTGATACTAAAGTTAAATGAAATGAATTTGCATGTGCCATGATTCCCGGCCCAAAAAAATAAAAATAAAAATAAAAATAAATAAAAGACACAAGGCTTCCAAGAGTTATCTGAGGGCATCCATGATCCATCATGATTTTATCAAGGAAAAAAGTGAAAGGTACATTTATCACGAGCCCACTATTGCATACCTCCTAGCAATTTCAGAGTAAACATCGGCAGGTTTCTCTCCAGCAACTAAGTTGACTGCAGCTGCTTCCAACTGGGCTAGGGCATATGCCATAAGCAAGTGAGGACGTGAATGCAATTTAAGTTAATTAGCAAAGAAAAATACATCACATTGCTCTAGTCTATACTGTATCCATAACATTTCAGACGACATTCAAGAACTTGACCATGAAACGAAAAAAGGTTGCGAATAGATTAAGCATATACGTGGAACATCCCTTCTTTTCTGATACATGACATTTACTTTACAACAAAAATGGACGTGAACAAAGTAAAATGACCAAAAACAGGTTATAAAATGGAAGAACAATGTGATGTTTCATATAGGAAAGTGGCTCATTGGACTTAAAGTAATCACATATGGAATGCAGCAATGTGAAGAATACGTCATCAGGTAAAGATTAAATCATATATATGGAGACAGAGAGCGTACACTGTCTCTTCCCAGGGCTGCGTAGTGCTGCAAGCCATTACACGAACCATCCTAGAAAAAGTTAAAAAGTTCTGCGTTACTAATAAATTACCCGAATATATATGTACATATATACAAGTAAAAAATATAGTAGAGCTTAAGATTCAGTTATGTGTATCGTAAGTAAATAATCAGGATTAGCCAATGGAAAGTATCGAATGATAAAAAAGAATAAGTGGTAATGATCACACATGAAAGGTAAGCAGACACATGACAAATATATACGAGAAATTCACTAAAATTCACGTTATCAAAATCGAGCATAAGACTCCATAACATCTTATTTCTTTCTTTTTTTTCTTTTTTTTACAGGAAAAAACGTGACATCTTATTTCTTAGAAACAATGTAAAAAAGAACTCATACTTGCAAAAAATAAGAAAAGAATTATAAACTTTTAAAAAGAAGTACATTGAAAATTTTCATGAGCCAACATTCCCTCTCAATACTTGAGGCTTCTAATATACCTGATGAATAGGCAAGTGAGAAATGACAGTATGTGGCGATGAGCTATTTAACGCTTCTGATAGATTAATACAAGCAGCTAAGCACTGAAACGGATCTTCAGCCCCCAACCACCAGCGATTTCCATTAATAGGGTTGTTTGCCGAATCAAATATATCATGAATATGATTCTCCACAAAAGCTAACCGCCCGTCATACGAAAACTTTTCAACTCCACAAGCATATAGATTTGCCAAATGTATCTTGAGCCAGCGTAACCCAGACTTGCCTAATGGTCGTCCTTCCGCGAACTCCAGGACTCCCCGACAGAGATCAGAACTCAAATGATTCAAATGCGAATGCATAGGATATGCTCTACCTCTGAAATCAAGATTATGAGGATAATAAAAGCCTTCCTCATCTTTTAGTTTTCGAGCCACCTATTTGAGCATCGATTTTCTCACAATCAGTGCTTCACAATTTGAAACTTAAAGATGAAAAGTGTTCAACATTCTTGAGAAAACAGTCTAGACGTTCCATATAGTAGAATTCCAAGCCGGATAATCTTTCAAATTTCTATGGCTTAGCCTCTAAAAGCTACACCACCTAAAACTCCATGCTTAGCTTCCAAAATTCTATCACGTTAAATTTTAAATCAAAATGTCTCCAAAAATAATTTGCAGAAACATGACACAAAAAGAGAACTGATGAGTATAATGATGAATTTCATATGTCTTTCCTGCTCAATCCAGGTCTCTGATGGTGGAAAGCAACGACAGTTTTTGGCACTAATAAAATGGCCAAGGTGTTATTGAGATGCTTGGTTCCGTCAATGATGTGGACGATTTGGATGGAGAGGAATGCAAGGCTAGATTATCTGCTTCTTTGTGGGCTTCAACGGATAAAGATTTCAAAGTGTTCCCCTTCTTCTTGATAGTTCTTAGCTGGAAGGATGTTATGGGCAATAGGAGTAGTAGGGGGGCAATTTTGAATTAAACTGGTTGTAGTGAGGGGCTCGTTTCTACTTGTTAGTGTGCTGTTTTCGTAGTTCTTTTGGTTTAGTTTTTTTACTTCTGCCCCGAGGATAGCTCATCCTCTGTTGTTATTGTTCCTTCTTCTTCTTTGATTATTTATCAATAAAAGAACTTTCTCTAATTAAAAAAAAGGACTTTATTAGTAAACTGATTTACATGTACAGCTATATTCGCTTTATTTTCAATGTTGTACGATTAGACAACCAAATAAAAAAGTTTTATAATAAGAAGAATCTAACTGACATCCCTTCAGGTTTTGTTAAAAATACCGCCCAACACCTCTGGAATGAAACTAATAATACCAGACTCATTAACATATGGATAATTATCCTGACAACCCTCATTGGTCCTTGACAATTTTAACTTTTAGCACACAATGATCCATTGATTCTCTTCTAAAATTGACTCAGTCCATAGGCTAATTAAGTTGATTTCCCAAAGTTTCAATAGTTGAAATAAATTTGACACAAAAATTCCAAAAATCCATATTTTGCTTTCCTTTTTCCATAAGTAATGGACTTTTGACTCTTTTTTCCCTTGAAAATGGATAAGATGTGGTTTTTTGGTCTTTTTCTGTCCTCACTTATGAGTCATTAAATAGTTTTGATGATCGGAGGTCTCAGTACAATCAAATTCAGTCAAGGGTTATTTGAGTGTAACGTAGACAAAATTAGGGTGTGCCAACAATCAAGTTCAGTCAAGGGTTATTTGAGTGTAACCTAGACAAAATTAGGGTGTGGCTGTTAGGCCCCCGGTATGGAAAGTCTATGTGAGACGGGCCAAGAGAGGTAATGTTGTGGGTCCGGGCCTAAATGAGGTGGGTCAGCCTAAGGAGGTGGGCTTGGTGAACAAGGAGGATAGTCCGCTTGGGGATCCGAGAATGGTTTGACGCAGGAGCTGCTGACGTGGGAGGTCGGTTAGAGCATGGGAGAATATTAGGGGAGTATCGAGGCAGTGAGGGGGGCATTGTGAATTCTGGTGTATGAGCTGATAGCTGGGAGGTTGAGGGGTTCCTCGAAAACCCTTCTCTATCTTTATCTTCCTGTATTTTGTTTCTTCTTCCTTCATTGTTGAATACCAGAGCTTCCATCGAGCCCTTGGTTATTTTGTTAAGTGATTTAATTCAATAAAAGGCTATCAGTTGGTTTACAGTCTATCAGATTGTTGGTAAATCTTAGCTTAAGAACTAGGATCCTAACAATTTGGTATCGGGGCAGATGATCCATGGCTCATATTTTGCTGGCGGCGAGCACCACGGGACACGTCTCTAGTTTGGAAGGAAGTCTTGAGTCAATCAGAGAGACCGTTCAACTGATGGGGGCTATCGTGGATCACGTACCTCAATTGATTGCAAGAGGATGTCTTGACTCTAGGGACCCAGATTGGTGACGTTCAAGGGGCCATTCACTGACTAGAGACCATGATCAGTCGCCACCTGGAGACCCAACCACCAGTACCCCAGCGGCGGGAGCAAGGGCGTGATCGGGATCGACAGGGGCTGAACGATTCGCCAGATTGGGGCCGCGGAAGGATTGACCACCGGGGAAGACGACTTAAGCTGCTAATCTTCCAAGGGGAAGATCCATATGGCTGGGTGTTCCGGGCGGAATGCTATTTCGCCATTAATGGCGTCGAGGAGGAGAAGGTATAGGCGGCGTCGGTGTGCATGGAAGGCAGGGCTCTCGACTGGTTTCAGTGGTTGGATTCGCAGGACCCATTCACCGACTGGCGAGATCTGAAGGCGGCGATTCTCCACCGTTTCAGCCGCGCAAAGGACGGAGACCCGACGGAGCGGTTGATGGCGCTATGGCAGGACAGCTCGGTGACGGAGTTCCGCGATCGGTTTGAGGCTTTGGCGGCTTCAATGCGAGATATTCCTGAACCCATCTTTAGGGGGGCTTTCCTTAATGGGCTTCGCGAAGATGTGAGGGCTGAAGTTAAGCTACACCGGCCCATTAACCTCTAAGAGGTGATGGGCTTGGCCCAACAGATTGAGGAAAGGAATGAGGCCATAGAGAGGCTTAGGAAGGGTAGGCTAGGCCGAGGATGGAGATCAGAGGGGCTGGGAAGAGAGCTAGGCGTCAGTGAACGACCCAACCCGCAATTAGGGTTCTCTGGGAACTCCCTTCAGTCCAACCAAGGGAAACAGCAGGTTCCTACCCAAAGAGCTCGGGTATGGCCGCTGCAGCCAGCAGGAACTTCAGAGGGGGGAGGGGCTGGTTTCAAACGGTTTACCGATGAAGAGATCCAACGACGAAGAGCTAAGGGGTTGTGCTTTAGGTGTGACGAGAAATTTGGTCTGGGTCACCGGTGTAAGAATCGGCATTTACAGGTGCTCATGGTGGCTGACGAGGAAGGTCAGGGTGACGAAGAGATGGTGGTGGCAGAGGAATCTACGACAGAGGAAGTCGAGGGAGTGGCTGGTCTCTCTCTCAATTCGTTGATGGGGATTACTTCCTCCAACACCATGAAGTTAATAGGAACCCTGGGAGACCGTGAGGTGGTGGTGTTAGTTGACAGTAGAGCTTCGCACAACTTCTTATCACAAAAGGTAGTGAGGGAGATGCACATTCCTTTAAGAGCCACGGGGGGTTATGGCATCCAAGTGGGCAACGACGCTTGTTTCAGACAACAGGGTGTGTGCAAGGGCGTGGAGTTGAGAATTTAGGGATACAGAGTTACTGAAGACTTTGTTCCTTTTGAGTTGGGATGCGCTCAGGTGGTACTGGGGGTGTCGTGGTTGTGAACATTGGGGGAGGTACGGGCTGACTGGCAAAAGTTCACGATGAAGTTCAAAACAAAGGATGGGTGGACCTGTTTGAAGGGGGCTGGCAAAAGTTCACGATGAAGTTCAAAACAGAGGATGGGGGGACCCGACCCTGAGTTTGGAACCAGTGAGTCCACGTACCCTTACTCGTAAGTTCCATAGGGAAGTGGTAGGGGCTTTGCTGGAGATTTATGCGCTCGAAGGAGGGGATGGAAACAAACAGGGGGACAGTGAGCCAGAAGTTGTTCAGGAGGTCTTTGCCCGGTTCTCTGAAGTGTTCGAGGCACCTGCGGGTTTGCCGCCTACACGCGGCCGGGATCACCAAATCACTCTCAAACCAGGGACGGAACCGCCTAACATTAGGCCGCATAGATATCCACAAGCACAAAAGAGTGAGATTGAGAAGCTTGTAGCCGAGATGTTGGCCTCAGGGATTATTAGGCCGAGTAGTAGCCCCTTCTCAAGTTCGATTCTGTTGGTCAAGAAAAAGGACGGGAGTTGGCGTTTTTATGTTGGCTACCGTGCTCTCAACCAGCTCACGGTGTCGGACAAATTTCCAATCCCCATTATCGATGAACTGCTGGACGAATTGCATGGGGCTGCCGTGTTCTCTAAATTGGACTTATGAACAGGTTACCATCAAATTCGGGTCAGGGAATTTGATGTGGAGAAAACCGCATTTTGCACGCACGAAGGGCATTATGAATTCTTGGTCATGTCATTCGGTTTGACTAACGCTCCCGCCACGTTTCAGGCCCTCATGAATAAGGTTTTCCAGCCTTACTTGTTCCGGTTTGTTTTGGTTTCTTTGACGATATATTGGTCTATAGCCAAACTTGGGAAGAGCATCAAGAGCATCTCGCCACAGTCTTGGAGGTCTTGAGGAAGGAACAGTTGTTTGCCAACCGGAAGAAATGCTCATTCAGGCAGCAGCAACTAGAATACTTGGGACACGTTATCTCTACAGCTGGGGTAGCGGCTGATCCAGCCAAAGTGGAAGCTATATTATCGTGGCCCACACCTAAAAATGTCCGCGGCGTTCGAGGGTTTCTAGGGTTGACTGGATATTATCGGCGGTTCGTTTGTAATTTCAAACATTTGGCACGGCCATTGACCGACTTGCTCAAACGAGGAGAGTTCAAATGGACTAAGGAGGCTGCAGACGCTTTCGAAGCACTCCAACAAGCAATGACCACCCTCCCAGTTTTCGCAATGCCGGATTTCGCGAAACCATTCGTGGTTGAAACGGACGCCTCAGGCTTAGGAGCTGTGTTAATGCAGCAAGGCAAGCCCATCGTCTATTTCAATAAGGCGCTGTCAGGCACCACATGATTCTGTTCGGTTTATGAACGCGAGCTCATGACAGTTGTCTTGGCAGTCCAAAAATGGCGCCATTACTTGCTCGGACGACACTTTGTGGGGCGAACCGATCAACAGAGTTTGCGGTTCCTTATGGACCAGCGGCTCCTTCCCCCGAAGCACCTTTGCTGGGCCATTAAACTTTTTGGATCTGACTTTGCAGTATAAGCAGGGCACATCGAATCAAGTAGCTGATGCCTTGTCTCGGCGTGGGGAGGACATGGAGATGGGCTTGGCCGCACTTTCCATTCCACAGATCATGAATTGGGATGAGATTGTAAGGATCAATGACAAGACGAGGAGTGTGCGTCCCTGATCGGGGAAGATTGGACAAGGGTGACGTGGTGGCAGCCGGATTTTCCCTCCATCAGGGCCTATTGTGCTATCGCGGCAGGATAGTCTTACCACAGCATTCACCTTGGATACATCGAATGTTACATGAGTTCCATGACTCGACCTTAAGGGGACATTCTGGGTTTTTGCGCACTTATAAGCAGGTTGCAAATAACTTGTTTTGGCGGGGGATGAAGGGAGACATACGCCAGTATGTGATTGACTGCTCTATCTGTCAACGTTCCAAGTCCAATGCACTGGTTCCCGCAGAGCTGCTACAACCACTGCCTATTCCGAAAAGGATATGGGAGGATATCTCCATGGATTTCGTATGTGGTCTGCCGCGGTCACAGGGGGTCGATACCATCTTGGTAGTCGTGGATAGGCTGTCCAAATATGCCCACTTTTTGCCACTGTCTCATCCATTTACAGCCAAGAAAGTGGCCGAGCTGTTTATTTGTGAGGTTCTGAGGCTCCATGGCATCCCTGGCTCTATTGTCACTGATCGAGACCCACTTTTCATGAGCCTTTTTTGGCGTGAACTGTTCCGTATGCAGGGCACTAAACTGAGCCGCAGTTCCGCTTATCACCCCGAGTCTGATGGGCAAACGGAAGTTGTAAACAGGTGCTTGGAAGTCTATCTCCGCTGCTTCGCGAGTGACACGCCTCGTTTATGGTCGCAGTACTTGCCATGGGCTGAGTTCTGGTTCAACACCAATTATAATGCCTCTACCAGGCATTCACCTTTCAGGTTGTATACGGCCGTGAACACCCCACAGTTTATCAATTCTAGGACTCTCTTTCGGCAGTAGAAGATGTCAACCAGCAACTCCAGCAACGGAATGAGCTCCTTGATGCCCTCAAAGGGCATCTCGTGGTGGCACAGCAGCGTATGAAGAAATTTGCGAATGTTCATCGCAGGGAACTATGCTTCGTTCCTGGGGATCATGTTCCCCTCAAACTACGCCCCTACCGCCTCAAATCCTTGGCACGGAAGTTGAATGAGAAGCTGGCCCCCCGGTTTTATGGACCCTTAAAAGTTTTGGAGAAGATCGGAGAGGTAGCCTATCGCCTCTTACTACCGGCTGACGCACGGATACTTTGTTTTTCACGTGTCCCAGTTAAAGCCATTCAGGGGCAGTGATTCAACATGTCAGCCTCTTCCGCCTCAACTCTCGGATGAGTGGGAACTGCAGGTCGAGCCTTTTGAAGTCGTCCGGGGTCGGTGGACCCCCTTAGGCGGGAAGCTAGTGGCTAAAATTCTAGTGAAATGGAAGGGCTTGCAGGATTGGGAAGCCACGTGGGAGCTCTTGGATGTGTTTCAGGCACAATTCCCTCACTACAACGTTGGGGACAAGGTTGTCTTCGAGGGGGGGGAGTGATGTTAGGCCCCTGGTATGGAAAGTCTATGTGAGAAGGGCCAAGAGAGGTAATGTTGTGGGTCCGGGCCTAAATGAGGTGGGTCAGCCTAAGGAGGTGAGTTTGGTGAACAAGGAGGACAGTCCGCCTGGGGATCCAAGAATGGTTTGACGTAGGAGCTGCTGACGTGGGAGGTTAGGGGAGTATCGAGGCAGTGAGGGAGGCGTTGTGAATTCTGGTGTATGAGCTGATGGATGGGAGGTTGAGGGGTTCCTCGAAAACCCTTCACTATCTTTATCTTCCTGTATTTTGTTTCTTCCTTCATTGTTGAATACCAGAGCTTCCATCGAGCCCTTGGTTATTTTGCTAAGTGATTTAATTCAATAAAAGGCTATCAGTTGGTTTACAGTCTATTAGATTGTTGGTAAATAGCTTAACAACTAGGATCCTAACAGCGCCAAACATGCATTTCCCTTGATGATATTAAGAGAACTTACAGAAAGTTTTAGTTCGATATCACATCTTAGAGAATGCCGCTCCATGTTTATCTTCTTTGCTTTCCTCGCACTCCATTTCCATTCTTGAATTTCTTTCAAGTCCTCGGAGGTTGGTTTCTCTGGTACCGTAACCTAAGAAACAATTAAAACAATCAGGAAAAATGAATGCAACAACCAATTCACTAAAGATGCAAGACTATTCCACAGTATTTTGCACATAATTTGATCAAGTCAATTTGATTTTAAATGGAATCAAAGAAATTAGAGAAGTCCAATTTCATGGATTTGGGCATGCCATACATGTGCACACAGCTCACACTATATAGCCTAAGAAGCAATAACGTTCAATATGATAGGAAAAAAATGTCGAAATAATTACATAAAATGCCTACTTTCAAAGCCTTGAATCTAAAAATACCCACTTACATACAATATTACAAAAATGCCTATTTCTGAATAATAAGGCTCATCTAATGCTGGATATACCCCTATTCGTCATTGTAGGTATTGTTCCTTATCTGGTGATTTTTGGTGCTTTTTTCATTGTGTAGGCTTTTTTTTTTTTTTTTTTTTTGATAATATATTCCATTTTGCCTTTTACCATTTTAACCTCAATTATTATTCAGTAATGACTTTTTGATTTAATATTGATATTATCATTATATGATATTTAGGCATAAATAGTCTATGTCTGAGTGCAGCGTGAATCATTGTGTAGGGGAAGAACAATTTTTTGTTGCACTTAGTTTATGAATGAGTGCATCGTGTGAATAGTTATGTAGGGGAAAAACAATTTATGCGTGAATAGTTTGTGGTTTTTGTCTTCTTGTTGAATTTTCAGCAACAAATTTGCGGCGTCAAAGAGGGATTCACTAAAACAGAAGGGTTGCAGAGTATTTGTTGGTGAGCATCTCTTTCTCTCTTTGTTTTTCTTCTCCCCTTTTTTTTTCTTTATGATAATGCTTGTTTTCAAATTTTCTTGATCATTTTTAACACCTTTTATTATTATTATTATTTGTGTCATTATCATAAAACTTTCATTCTTTAGAATAATGCTTGTATTGACACTTTACTGCACTTGTTTAATATGTTTGTTATTATTTTCGTCATTATCATAAAACTTCAATTCTTTATGATCATGCTTATATTCACATTAAGTAGGCATTTTAGATTCAAAATGCTTTAAATAGGCATTTATGTAAATAAACCAAACCTGTTTCTCGAGAGTGAATTATCAAGTATGTACTCACATCTTTACGGTCAACTAAGCCAGCAACATTGCCACCTCCAGCCCAAAGGCTCTCCACAACACTAAGCACTCTTTTATTTACCCGCCATTTGGTGTTTCCGAGCATATCCAAAGCCTGAGACGTTGCACATCAGAAAGGTGGGTTCAAAAATTAGCTTCATGACGAATTGGAATAAAAATGCAAAAGTGAAGAAGCACTAGCAATTATATCCAAACTATGATCTCTCATAGGTAACGGGTCATTTCTGGATAATCGTGCATCATGTTATGTGTTGAAGACCACACCCTGACTGGGGTGCATATACATAGACAAAAGTCAGAACCATTACGAATTGTACACGAGATTAAGGTTGCCAGTCCATGCAGACGAAACATCAATGATAAACAATAATTTGATTATGAAATGGTTACAAGTTATAAAAAGCATAAAAGAAAGATTTGAACAAGGAAGCTTCCAATTTCTTCACCTCAAATACTTTCTGCATCTGTTTCCCGGGAATAGTCTTAATTGCATCTCGCTGCTTCCGAGATCCATGAGTACGCATAATGTAAGAAGGCAGGAACAAGTGCCCACCCCTGTCATATCTGAAAAGAATTTCAAAGGATATCCAAAACTTGAGTTGCAAGCATATTGTAAAAAAGGAGAAGTGTTAACATGTGCAGCATTAGCATTCTTGCATAAGAGAAAAAGCAACATGAACATCAGATATACTATCTACTTACCCTTTCCATTTTCTCGGAGGTATCAACATTGGCACGTAAGGAATCGGCATATGCTTAGCCTGTGAAAAACAAAGGAAGAAGATAACTTTGAAGTAGAAGGAATTTAAGACTCATGAAATACTCCATGCTCATAAACCTACTGTTATAGCTAACATATGTTTAAATACATGCAGCAACTGATAAAAAGCATACTCTTTTTCTTCCCTTTCCTTTCTCTTCTCGGAACATGTAAAAAGTAAACAAATAACTTTAAACTGCTTTCATATGTATCATATTTTGAAAATATCTAAGACCCCATTATGCAGACGCTAAACTTAGAGACAACTACTTCTCACGATCTAATCTTCAGGTGGATCCAGTAAAAAAGGATGAAAGTTGAATGGTTTGAATTTCTATGCTAAGAGAAAAGGTTGAAAGTCTAGGTATTGTAATCTAGTAATCTACAATGCAAAACTAATTTCAAGTGAATCAAAAAATAAAGACAAAAGCAGAGAGTAAGTTAACTTACAGTTTTATCAAGCCCTGTAAGAAGTAAGGGATCGCATTCTATAACACCATAATTCTTCACAAATCTCTGCCTATAAGTACACCAAAAGAGTTCTATAATTACATCGGGACAAATAAAAATATTGAGAGAAGTCATCCTCGCAAACTTAGCCCACGTAACTATGAGTATTAAAGTATTGACTAAAACATTTCAACTAGTCAGAAAGTGCACAGACAAAATAAATGCAAAAATCAAAGAAGAACATCTTGCACGAATTCATAGTCAATTCTAAAGCCTGTTTCCATCCAAAAAAAGGGCCAATAACCGAATATCTGTAATATTAACGACTCCTAAAAAGAAATTTTGACAAAAATTAAAGCAAAGATTTTTGCAACAAAATTAAATAAATGAAAGGTTATAGACTCACACTGTAGTCTTTGCTATAGACTTAAATCTATGCCTAAATGCAGGTCTAATATCAGGTGCATCATCTACTGGATGGTCAAGTGGCGGCTGTACATAAGCTGTTTCAGTTAATAATTCTATCAGACGACTTCCCAGCTGCAAAATTACATTATATAAAAAAAAATCAAAATCCAGAATATTATGAGGACTAAAAGTCTGATTGATTAGCGATACCAATAGCCACAAACCTTAGCCTGGGTAACTCGGCTCCAAGGCTTAAACTCCCCTTTTACCAGTAGCCTTTGCGCCTTACTCAGTTTTCTCTTTCTAATTAAACCATTAATATTTTTCCTCAGTACCTCCTTCTCCTTGCTCAGTGCCTCTTCATTGTCAGCTACAATCTTCATTCTCTTACTCTTTTTAGTTTTCTCCAGGAAACAACTAATCCTCACCTGAAATATACCAAGATAACAAGATATGATACTAATCCCTAAGTGACAGTGACACAGAAAACGGTAAACTGGCACGGTCAACCGGACTAAGTACCCTGATATCGCTACTATAATGTAGGAAAATAAATACTATTAAACTGAAAAGGTCAGAACCATAAAATCACAAAAAAAAAATAGATGAACTAGTTCTTCAACTCACCATAATATGATTAATTATTGTGTTACCAATTCACTTGTGCTAAATAGATGCATAGACTCTGGTAATCACTCTTACTACAATGCTTTATAGTCGCCATATTAATCAAAAGCCCAGAAAAGATCAAAATTTTAAAAACTTTGAAGGAATCTTTTATCAAAAGCTCTTGAGAAGCAAACTCTTAACTATAACTCAATATATATATATATATATATATATATATTTTTTTTTTTCATAAGAAAAAACTTTATATTGATATATCTCAATGTTGTCCTATCGAATTACATGCCAACCAATTTTGTATGCTCACTTGTCATTGACAGATTTTATACCAATCACTCTCGAGAATCAACATTTTACCTGCTTCTCAAAAAATTAAGTTACACACCCAAAAGAGTTGAGATAAAACTTCAAAATTTTCAGTCATGGGAAGCGACTTTTACCTTTCTCAAAATTATTCTCAAAGCATAGTGGATTAAGCGCCAATAACTTTTGGCTTACTTTAGTAAATGGGTTTATGCTAAAACAAACCTCATGAAGGGCCTGTTAGCTTCATGCATGTTGTTTTCAGCTCACAAAGTTCAGTAGGTGCTTCTTGAAGTATTTGGATGACCTTCAAAAAGAGCGTCAAGCCCAAACCACAAAATGACTTCTTCTAGAAAGCTCTTTTGAGAATACTTTTGAAACTTGTTCCGAAGTTTCAATAACCTTTTATGAACTTCATTCCGACATATTAAACTTAAATAGTATTTTTGTCCCATTGAGCTTTTCAACAATGTGGTTCCGAAACTAAGCTTTTACTCTTCTTCTACTAGATAGCATATGAAAAAATAATACCAAATGGACTAACTCCACAACTACAAGAGGTTTAGTTACATTATTTACCACATGCCCAGCAAAGTTAAGGAATTCTAAAAATCACTTCTATAGAATTTATAACAATCACTTCTGAAAAAGCAGAATGTCACTTATTTCTCAAATCACATATGATTCTAATCACTGTTATAGTATTAAAATTGTGACTTGGTGATTATAGCCAATTTTTCTTTAGAAGTTGTGACGAACATCGAACGTCCATTTTTAGACACATGTTCAGGGAAAATATTGCCGAACTTTTCTTCTTAGTTTTATGGCCATAAGTATCAACGATTTATTAAGAAAAATCGATATATTATTGGATCTATTAAGAGTTTTATTAAAACTAAATCATTAGAGCATCTCCAACGCAATGCTAATTTGACTTCTTACTGGTTAATGCATTGACTTTTCTCCAGTAACAATGTTCTCGCCTTCCGACTTTTGAAAATTAAACTTTTAGTTTTGCAAATTCCAAACTTAAACTTTATAAGGAAAAATAGATATAGCATTTAAAATGGTATTATGTACCATAGTAAAAATAGAATAATATATTAAATAAATATTAATATCAGTATTTAAATGAGTATATGAGTTTTTTTGTGCTAATAAATATATTAATATTGGCACTTATCTTGGAGTACATGTTTTTATATTTTTGAGTTAAAAAAAATATAATAACGATATTCATATTAGAGATGGCCTTACCTTTCCTTTTTCTTAAATTGGGACGGGGATTTGAACTCAACACCTAGTATTAGAGTCAGAGATGAAATTACTGCTAAGTTGTTCCTTAACCAACCACAGAGATGGTCATACTTCTAGTGAATAAAAAAAATATACAAAAATATACACATACTTTTGAACATACCCCGAAATCAGATGCCATGCCAATTACTATTATATAACTTTACCAAAATGAGTTTATCCAATACATGTGTGTTTATAATACACATACTTTTGACATACCCCAAACTCCCCAAACTCAGATACCATGCCAATTGCCATTATATAACTTTACCAAAATGAGTTTATCTAATACATATGTGTATATATATACACCCAAGTTCTTGCAAAAAGGATTATTCATTCTTTGTGTGAGCTGAGCACTAATTATGAGAGAATTCCAGTAACTTTGAATGTAATCTGCTTAGTGAAATGTTTAGTAACAGAAAAATCCAAATTATATCTATGGCAATTATCAGCAGAAGAAGAATCACAAATTATTTACTAGAGCAAAAACACACAATACCTCATGTTCTACAGCCATGGCAATCCGAACCGCAGCCTGGACGAGCAGAACACATCCGTCCTGGTTCGCCACCATCACCATCTCCATCATCTTGTGCATCACAATCAACGCCATCTTGTCCGCCGGCAACGAGTCGATGTTCGGTGCGAACGCCGTCTTCCGCTTTCCCCCCTCTATCTTCTGCTCCCTCTCAATGGCGTCCCTCAGCGGCTCGAACCACCCGAGGAACAGCGCCTTCACGTGCGGCAGATTCGGCGCCAGCTTCCTCTCCCTCATTTCCCGTTCAATTTCGCGGTACTCCTCCGCCGTCCGCTCCCACGCCTCCGTCTCCGCCCTAATCTGCCGCCGCCGCAGCAGATTGTACCTCCGCCGCTCGATTTCCCGCGACTCCACCCTCACCGCCTCGCCGCCATTGAATATCCCCTTCAAGAAAAGGGATGCGATCCAGGGCGGGGGGTCCTGGAAAAAAATCCTAGGATTGCTGGTGTTGGTGCTGTTTTCGATATGGAAGGTCATTGCGGTGTCGAGGTTTTCGAGCTCGGCGACGTTGTCGCGGAAGGTGTCGAGGACTGGGGGCGGAGCGGGGGAAGGAGGGGGTTTGAGAGTGAGAGGGAAAGGGGAAGAAGAGGAGAGAGACAGTTTGAGGAGAGAGGAACCGAAGAGGAAATGGAGGTTCTTGAGGGGCTTCTGGTTATGGTGGTGGTTGAGCTTTGGAGGGTTCGTTCGCCATGTGGACTTGGAGATTTGGGCGTGACGACTCAGATAGGAGGAAGCTGTGGAAGCCATTGGAGGAAGTGAGAGAGATAGGTTATCAGTAGAGAGAGAGAGAGCGGAAAAAGGATGAAACCTCGCTTAAACCTCTCCCTCTCTGTTGTCTGGCATGAAGATATTTCTTTTTCTCTCTTTTTTTTTCCGTTTTGGAATTTTACATTTTCATAAAAAAAAAAAAAGGGAAAAAAAGGAAGGTTTTTATTTTTTTTTCAAGCATTTTAAATTCATGCTAAATTTCCTTCCAATAAATTAATTCATACGAAATCCTTTTTTTATTTTTTATTATAAACATTTTTTTAGACCATAAAGTTAATTTAAATGGCCTTTTATATTTTTTAATTTTTATTTTTTCTTAATTGTTTTCTTAGTTTTTTTGTCTTTAAGATGTTTAGGTCTTTTTCGTGGTAAAATTTGAGCATTGACCAAGAAAAATGTATAAATAGGATATAAATTCGGAATTTGATATAGTTAAAATATAATGATAATTTTATGATAACTTTAAAATATAGCAAAATATATTAAATAAAATCAATTTTGAAGAATAAAAAACTCACAAAATAATTTAATTATTTGTTTGATTGGAATATTTATTTGAACATAAATTTTTGTATTTAAAGTTTCAATTAAATCATAACTAAATTAACATTCAATATAGATCAAAAACAGTAATCTTAAAATTTTTAAGAATTTAAATTTCTATTTTTAAATTTTTGTATTTAACTTTTTAATTAAATTATATCTAAATTAACTCTTTTTCAGCTTCAAATTTAAAGAAACGGCATTCTTAAAGACGCTGAATCCATGAACCAAATCTCTCCTTAATTACAAGTTGGGTGAGCGGTTGCGGGTTTAATCGCGTGTTGTATTAGAAAAGGAAAAAAAAAAAAAAAAAAACCTGAATTTTAACCAACAATGACATATATTCTACGACAAACTACTTCCAACTTTTCAAATATGCGGCGACACCTCTTGAACTTAGAAAAGCAACAACATTGAATCACTGATGCTTTCGTCTATTTTCGTTTAGAAAAAAAAATAAAAAAAAAATAAAAAATCACTGCAGTCACGTGCCCGATGTTAATTTTTGGACGAAACACAAGCAGAAGAGTAACGTTAACACAAATGTGTAGAGATACATGCATACATACATTCATTATACACACGATTCTCCTTCTCATCACAATTTGATTTATATACTTTGTGATCAAGAAAGAGTTCGACACAAGAATGTGCAGGCTTGGCTTTTGTTTATGTGAGAGCAGGTTATGAAGTCCCTCCACACAAACCCTGTTAAAGAGATTGTAATATGTATTGATCAAGATTATAAGTTGTTTGAGTATTAAAACATGAAAACTCTGTTAAAGGGACTTTAAAACGCTGCAACGAAAAAAAAAACTGCTTTGATTCGGTCAAACCGCTGCAGCCGAAATGTTTGTATGCCTAGGGTTTGTTTGCGGCTGCAGCAGAAATTATGCAGAAAATAATATTTTCATGAGTTTATGTGATCTAAAATGTTTCGAACCATTATATCCATTAGTGATATGTTTTCATACATATCTGTTCACTAATTAGCAATAGATATAACTATTGTAATAGGTGTATTAATCCATGAAAAGATACATTTACATTGAAAATGTACATTTATGTGAATGGTTGTAATGTTTAAAGAGGATGCATTCATTCATCAAATTGCACCTCTGTCTTTATTAATTCTCCAAAAAATTTACAGACATTATTTATGTTATGGAACTCAATATTATTGCTAGATATTGTGTTCAAGGGTTTGTTGTATCTTGGGGGTAATTTGCTATTAAAACTTATTAGCAAACTTTGAGAAGTGAGGGCAAATAAAACCTTAAAGGGAAGTATTCCTATACGCCTCAAATCCTATCTTGTTTTTGTATTCTTTTCACCCTCTACACTCAAATTTTTCCAACAATCTTTAAGGTTTTAACTTGTTGTAATGTAGGTTGAAAAGAACATGACGTCTTTCCTCAATCCGAATGTCCAACTTGATAGATTTGACGGTACCAATATCACCCGCTGGAAAGGAAAGTTGTTGTTTCTTCTCACCGTGCTCAAGATTGCCTATGTGCTTGATCCAAAGTTGGAGCCTCTTCCGGAACCGAAGGAGGATGATTCCAAAGACTTGAAGGCTGCAAGGAAGAAGCGTGAAAATGATGAAGTCATGTGCCAGGGTCATATACACTCTCTCCGATAAGCTCTACGATCTCTACAACTCGATGGAGTCTCCACTGGAGATTTGGAACGCTCTCGAATACAAGTACAAAACGGAGAAGGAAGGTACGGACAAATTCCTCATCATGAAATTTCTTGAATTTGTCATGGTTGATACCAAGTCCGTTCTAGATCAAATACATGAATTGCAAGTAATTGTTACTAAGCTTCGTGAATTGAAAGTTGAAATTTCTGAATCATTCTAAGTGGGGGCAATTATTTCTAAATTGCCTCAAAGTTGGAATGGTTATAAAAAGAAACTCATTCATAGGAGAGATGACATAACTTTAGAGGAATTACAAAAACATTTGAGGATCGAAGAAGAGACTAAGTCTCGTGATCCCAAGGGCAAGATTATAGATTCATCTAAGGTTAATATTGCCAAAGCTAGTAAGTTTTCCAAGAACTTCAAAGTCAATAATGACAAGAAGTTCAAAAGCCCGGTAATGGCCAAAAGAAATTTCCTAGAAATTATTTCTTTTGTGGAAAGAAAGGCCATCACCAAAATGACTGCAGATACTAGAAGAAAAAGGAAGAAGTTAACACCAATAAGGCCAATACTGTTGAAGAAAAATATGAAGACATTTGTGCTATGGTCTCAGAAATGCAAATTGGCATAATTACTGAAACTAACATGGCTGCAACAAATTCCTCCGAATGGTGGCTTGATTCCAGTGCCACAATCTACGTTTGTAATGACAAGAATTTGTTCTCATCATACAAAGTGGAAAAGGAAGGACAAACGGTTCTCATGAGGAATAATGATGCAACGATGGTTGCTAGGAGAGGAATGGTGGAGATTAACTTTACTTCTGGAAAGAAGCTTACTGTAATAACTGAGAAAATCCTAGAATTAAATAATGTAAATTTATTTATTTAAGTCAAGGACTTTCCTCAGTAAATTACTATCATATTTTGTTACTGAAGGATTTATGAAATTAATATCAGTATTCCTAAATTCTGTATCAAGTCTTCTGATAAGTTCATAATTTAAGAACAAGTAAATTCAATTGATAAATAAGTAATCCTCAAAAATCAGTATGAAGTAATAAGAATAGCTGTAAGAATAGAACATTAGGGTGTGATTACTAAGTGTTCACTAAGCCTTGCTTATGTAAGCAAGATAAGATCAAGTAGGTAATTAGAAATTTAAGTTAGGTAAGATACCGTTACCAACTTTTAGAGTGCAAGAAGTAAAGATGTGCAGAATGCTGTGTTAAACTCACAAGTGGGCTAACACATGAGTCTTAAGGTTGAGAAATGAAAGGGGATTGAGAGACATCAATTATAGGGTTTTAGAAATAATCAGAATGAAAAATGGACGTAAAAAGGGGCCCAGAAGGCCAAATCGCGCAAATTAGGGTTTCGACTGTTTTAAGTGGACTGAGTCAAAATTTATTGACCAAGAGTCCACCAAAACTTTGCCCACAATAAGTTAGTCAAGAATGGTCAAAGTTGACTAAGTTGACCAACTGTCTAAAAAACGCAAATAGAACGCGCACTAGAAAGGAAATTAAGTTGAACCAAAGTAGGATAATTATTAAATAATCAATGGTTGAGATTTAAAGTAACAAAAGGTTGGATGGATGAGATTTTGACATGTGAAATAAGGAGTGAGGGGCAGCCGGCCAACTTGTTAAGGAAGCAATAGATATTTATTTGAATTTTTGCAAAAAGGTCCTTAGAAGAGTCAAATTTTACAATTTTTGGTCCTTTGCTTTATATGTGTGAGTTCAAGTGTGGAGCAAAGGCATATATTGGTCATTTTCATGTGGAACGAAACCAAAGAGCAGTCAAGAGGAATAGAGAGGAAAAAAGAAATTTCCAACGTGAGAAAATAGGGATTTAGTCTAAAATCGACGGAGTAACCAAGGTATAACGCACCGGAACTTGACCTTCATTTCCTAAGGTGAGAGTTCAAGTTTTCTCTTGTTTTCCTTTTTCCTTGGCTGCCGTGGATGTGCAGAGAAGTGTGGAAAAAAGTTTTACTAGAAATGGTAATTATCTTTTAATGGTTCAAGAACTTGGAATCTAGTGAACTAAGGTTGGATTTTTGGTTATTGAACCTTGGTTTCTAGCAATTTTTGATAAAGAGAATTTTGTTAGAAATGTTGAGAAACCCTAGAACCATGTGATGGATGATGGTGTATTTGAAAGAGAAATGATATGGTTGGTGTTTGAAGGTGAAAACAATGGATAAAACGAGCTAAAGTTAACTCGGGAAACATAAAAAAATAAGGCGAAACTCTACGGAAATTTAGTTTAAGAATTCGAGGATAAACCTAGTTTTGGTTTTAGAATTTGAGGCTAAACTTGGTTTTAAATCTAAATAGAAGCTTTAAACTATTTTCTTAGAAATAAAACACTACATAACTGTTAAAACAGTTTTGGCGTTGAACAGAGGAGTTCGCTTAAGAACTTTAGGTATAATCTTAGGAAAGGATGTCGATTTCAAACTTTTCTAATAAAAATCTCTCTCTCTCTCTCTCTCTCCCAACATAAACCCTAATTTCTTCGAATTCAAAAACCCATTTGGGCACTTGTACTCTTCTAATACTAACAGGATGAGAAGGAAGTTACCATTTCAAAGAGAATATTAAAACAAAATGGCAATGAAGAACATACCTGCAAGGAAATCGGTGGCCTTCGGTTGAGGAGAAGGCAATGAAGAAGAAACCCGTTCTCTCTCTCTCTCTCTCTCTCCCAACATAAACCCTAATTTCTTCAAATTCAAAAACCCATTTGGGCATTTGTACTCTTCTAATACTAACAGGATGAGAAGGAAGTCACCATTTCAAAGAGAATATTAAAACAAAATGGCAATGAAGAACATACCTGCAAGGAAAT